ATGGGCCAAGGATACAGGGCAGACCAACGCAGCGCAGAAGTATAAATCAAGAGGCTGCGTCCAGCCATTCATTCATTCCTGCGGATGCCATGCGGAAGCGCTGCCTCAGCAGCTTGTGCGAGGAGGTCTGCAGTGTGCCCGAAGACGAAGTGGGCAGAGAAGTGTAGTGTAGCGATAGGGTAGTGGCAGCTAGCGCTGCCATAGCCATAGCCTAGTGTGTGTGTGTTGTGTATGAACATTGAGTGTCGCGTGTGGGACATCTAGGGGGATCTCGAGTGTGAGCAGTGAGTTGTATGGGCGCACAGTCGCCATAGCCAGTTGGAAGAGAACTCATATCTGGTTACGATATCTTTGAGTACTGTGTGGGCGCACGTCGCCAGTTTGCTGTTTCGCTGTTTGCAAGCATGATGAAGTGTGAATAAGTCGAGTATGATTGCACACCCAACTGGTCAGCTGTCTGTCAACTGGAGCTGCTCTCTCTATTGGATCTCCAATTCTCCGCTAGGAAAAACAGTAAGGATAAACCAGGAGAGGGCTGGGGTTGGTTTCGGCAAAGCAGCGGAGAGAAAGAAAACGGGGGTTGGATTCAGCAAGGTGGGGGAGGGGGAAGGAAAGGAGGAGGAGGAAGTGGTCTCGATGGGGGAAAGGGGGGGAGAAGGATGGGTAGACACGGATTTGACAACCAGCAGCATCAGCAATAGCAACAACACCAACAACCACCCAATGAGGAGGAGGAGGAGGAGGAGGAGGAGGAGGAGGAGGAGGAGGAGAGGAGGAGGAAGAAGAAGAAGAAAAGTCATTCCTTAGGTCGTACTTCTTGCAGACACCCAATGTATCAGGATGTAAGGAACAAACAATCCGCGTTCATAATAATCTCACCTGGTTCCCGAGTGAAGGTATTCGCAAATGTGTGACCCACTGCGCATCAATCACCCCTATTCTCTGATATGGAGGCCACTGTCCATTTCAGCGATCAGTCACATCACATCAGCATCGTATCAGCTTTCTCATCTGATTGCAGAGGGGACGATCAAAAAGGTTTCTCGTTCCTATTAAACCACTAGTACCTTTGCCGAGTGGGAAAATAGCGGGCCTCCGACCTTTTAGGAGGCCGAAGCGAAACGACGCCCACCGATGAGATTTATCAATGGCAGCCATCGTCAGGCCCGGCTCCGAACTCTTCGGGAACAGCCCGTTTTCCCTAATTTCCCAACACTGGCAGAGGTACTTGTTGTGCTTCAAGGTTCAAACTTCAAAACTATCATGACAGGAAAAAGCAGCAGTTGTATGCCAGCCAATCTCACCACACGAACGCTTTGTTTCCTCTCTGAGAGAAATTCACGGCAAATTCACGCATGCAATAATATCTTTTCCCTGAGAGCTGATACTTGGACCCTGCCCTTCCCTTCCCCTTCCCTTTTCCCTCCCATCCACTACTCCACTCTTCTCTCCTCTCCTGAGTCTCCTCCTCTTTCTTTTCTTTTCTTTTTTGTTGTCCAAACGGCGGCCGCCTTGAGATATCATCATCACTGAACTGACCCGCCGTAGGTTATTCAGAACTGTAGTATTTCACTCATCTTTTTTTGCTTCCGGTGAAGTTCGGACTTGGGTCTGTGTTTGAACTTCTAACAGTTCAGGGGTGTACCAACCGAGCCAGGCCAGTTGATTGATTTAATGGGGTTTAATACCGTTTTATTGATATGGTTGATTTGATTGATTTAACTGATACTTGGGCCCTTGCCTTCCCTTCCCGTCCCTTCCCTTTCCTTTCCTATCCTTTCTTCGTCTCTTCATCTCCCCTCCTCACCCCCTACTCTCCCCTACCCTACCCTAACCTCTCCCTCTCATCTACTCTTCTCCGTCATCTTTTCTATAGAGTTGATTGAGTTGACTACATTTGACTGACTGGATCGATTTGATTGATTAATTGATTGATTCATTGGTTAACTGATTGATTGATTGATTGATTCAACAAGTCAAAAAAGGTGTCTGGCAACATGCTTTCTTGCGCCAGTACATGGCAGATAAAGGAAGCAGCAAGGAGGAGGGAAGGACAAGGATGAGGAAGGAAGGAAGGAATTACCGTTGATGAGGAGAAGAGAAAGAACGGAAGGCAAGGAAGGAAAGAATCTGTCTGTCTGCCCATCCACTTGCCAGACGGCCATTTGGTTGATCCATCCATCTGTTGCTCCACCCCTCAGTTTTTCATTTGCTTGCTCGCACCGTCAATCACTGGGTTGGCCACTCACCTGCTTGCTCAGTTTTTTGTTTGGGGTGTGTTGGCACTGAAGAAGACTACAAGGGCTACACAGTTGGCCCCCTCAGGGCGGGAGAGAGAGAGAGAGAGAGAGAGAGAGAGAGAGAGAGAGAGAGAGAGAGAGAGAGAGAGAGAGAGAGAGAGAGAGAGAGAGAGAGA